TTTCCCTATGGTAAGTCTGGGTAAGGGCTCCACAGGCAACAGGAGAAGATTCACTTGTGAGCCTTAACGTAACTTAGCCAAGGTAATATCTTAACTAAAGATTGATACTTATAATGCATCGACAAAAAACACAAAACTTGAGTCAAATGATTCGTATTAATTGCATCTACATTGCAAGCATAGAGAAAGCTTGATTTAGATCTTGTATGAATATCATAGAACCATACATGCTACTCAAAAACATATCAACAGAATTCTAAAAGGCAAAGATGCATGTGTATCTTGATTTAAACATATAAATTAAAAAAGAAAGAGTAACGAACAAGCGTTGGAAGAAGCTTCATCCTTATCTTCTTTATTGCTTGATCCTCCCAATAGTTGCATACATTGTTCAAAATTAGCTTAGTTAGGGTTAAGGATTTCTTTTTGTGCTAGAGTATTCAAGTAGGAATTTATTGTCCTCTCGAACCCAAGAGCATGATACTGCAACGCTCTGATCTAGTGCCCCTTTGGAGCACTGCGATACCAATTTAGCAGCATTGGCACCAATAATTGACTTTTGAGCTATTTTTTACATAAAGTTTAGGTTTTGCTGAGAGGGATGGGTTGAATTTTGAATTCTCTTGTGCAAAAAAGAAGAGAGAAGTGCTATGGAGTTTTCCAAAATATGAAGAGGCTTGAGTGTAATGTAACTCTATATTGGATTTGGGGGGACCATTTTTTTTTTCCCTATGCGTAACGCCTGGCCAGCTGGCGCCCAATCTAGGTTTAGAACTCAAAAGCACTACACAATTGCATTCGAATGCAGCACTCCGAGGCTGCGACACCACTATCGCGACACCCTGGTGCCAACAATTGGCTTTGGAGAAGTTTTTCACTTGGAGTTTTGATTTTTGCTCAGAGTAATGCGTTGAATTTTGAATTCTCTTGTACAAAGGAGATGAGAGGAGTGTCATGAAGCGTTCTAAAATATGAAGAGGCTTGAGTGTGTTGTAATTTGTTATTTGTCTGATTCTCGTCATTTTCTTTATTATGAAATTTTTGATGCAATGTGACTCAATAGTTTTTTCTTTATTTTTTCTTATTAGCTCTTATCTTTTATGTCATTATTTATTTATTTTATGTCTTATTCAAAATTTTACTTCTGATCTCGCGAACCAATTTATGAGATTTTGATCTCCTAAGATGACATATATTGATGAAAAATACGATCGGCATATGTTGAGCTAATTTCATATTTTCCCCCTGTATATTGCTATATATTCCGTCGACCTCTCCTGTCAAATCTTTTGTCATTACGACTTTATAGAGGGAAAGATGACAGTGTTAGTTTCGATACACTAAAATAATTTTGGGTGTATGGAGTTAAATCAAAAAGGTTGGTGCTGGTTATGTAAATTAGAAAATTTTAAATGCTGTGTATGTAAAATCCTTAAAATTAAATGAACTTAATTATTTATAACATTTAAATTTCAATACCAACAAACAAATAGAAAAAGACAATAAGATCTAGCCAGACTTTTGAAGTTTGATTCATGTTTTTAATTATAAAAATTAAAATGCAAGAGCATTAGACATATATTATAAGTTTTTCATTTTGATATTTTTATCAAATAACGAATAAAGTTCTGATACTAAATTCTAGTTAAATAGAAATTCATTCATCAATTAGTGTGTTTTTTTTTTGAAGCCTATTTATGAAAAGAATATTACTAAATCCTTTTAGGAAGTTGGGTTTTATATTGTTTGCGGGTTCATACAATTCTCGAGAGACCTGTGCAAGGAAAATGAAGGAAGATAGATTGTTGTGTCTTCAGGCTTGAATTATGCGTTTCGTGCTCAGATAATCCTCCAACAGATTGGAGAACATGATTTAACGAGAGCAGGGAGCAAGAGAGGTCCAGGCACGAGTTCTTCTCTCATATATATATATACCTCGCCATTTATAAATGTTCAAGAAAATATTAAAATACTTAAGCCATGATGTAGGAAATATGTCTACAGTATCTCATTGA